ACTCTTTCACCCCAGAAGGTTTTGCCTCCAGACACTCCGGCCCTGGGCACCAGGCTGAGTTGAAACCTGCTCTTCTGTTTTCCTCAGGCTCACACAATTTTCTGTTTGCTTTCTCTCTCACCTGACTTCCCCGTTCCAGGGCCAAAAGTTGTTAAAGAACAAAAACGCTCTGCTTAGCACCCTGTTTTAATGTTTCTCTCAACAAAGCTGTGGCTTGCAGGAGAAAATCTTGCTGTGGCTGCCTTAGACACCTCTCCCTGCTTCAGCTCTGTGTTTCTCAACCTCAGCAGTACTGCAATTTGGGGCTGGATAACTCTTTGTAGTGGAGGATTGTTCTGCAGCACCCCCGACCGCTACCTATGAGATGCCAATAGCACCCCTACCCTAGTTCTGATGATCAAAAATGACTCCAGACATTGTCAAATGTCCCCAGGGAGGGGGCAAGGGAAAAGCACAATTGCCTGGTTGAGGACAACTGCTCTACTCTTAAGACCCTTTCCAGTCATGCCCTTACCTCGAGAAGAGATGCCTTCGTGGTGGTTTTCCATTCAGACCATTGGGATGGCCTTTGGAGAGCCTCCTTAGAGGGGAGGGGCAACTGCATCAAAGCTAGGTTCGTCACACAATAGACGGGCATGTTTTTGTTTTTGTTTTTGTTTTTGTTTGAAACAGAATCTCACTCTGTCACCAGCCTGGAGTGCAGTGGCGCGATTTCGGCTCATTGCAACCTCCGACTCCCTGGATCAAGCGATTCTCCCACCTCAGCCTCTAGAGTAGCTGGAATTATAGGTGTGTGCCACCATGCCTAGCTAATTTTTGTATTTTTAGTAGAGACAGGGTTTCACGATTTTGGCCAGGATGGTCCCGATCTCTTGACCTTGTGACCTGCCCGCCTCGGCCTCCCAAGGTGCTGGGATTACAGATATGAGCCACGGCGCCAGACGGGCATTTTTAATTGGTCAAGTTGGCTGAATCCAAGGACAGCAGCGAATTAGGGTCAAGAGGCAGTATCCAGAGAGGTCAAAGGCCCCCCTCACCCCCACAATTATCTTTGAATTCACAGTTCTTTCCTTTATGCCTAATCCTAGACAACACCGGATTTGGAAGAAAGCTTGGATAAATTCATCTAATCCAAGCCCTCCATTGCACGGATGTCAAAAGTGGGACTAGAGAGAGTACGAACCCTGCCTCCACTCAAGCTGGTGTTAGTTCATCACAGACACAATTTTTACAAACAATTGCCCATTTTCACTCAATGAGGGTGAAGGGTAGCTGCAACCAGAAATTGTAGGATACAGAGGACATTTCTAGAAGGATACAAACAATTAGGCCCAAAGCAAGTCTCCAGCAAAAACTCCCAATAAAACTAAAACAGAAAATGTCTGACATCCAATTCTTACCCAAGCATTCAATCCCTATGGCCGACCTTGCAAAACTCAGGCAGGCCTAAGACAGTGGAGTCTCTGAGCCCAGCTGTCCTCCGGGTGCTCAGAGAACACCCGCCTGGTAGGTGGGACCCTGTTCTGTCCCCATTCCTCACCTGGGACAGGTGATTGGCTTCTGTTGCACCTGCCCTCTGGTCCTTCCATGTTGTTTTCTAGCTGTACCCCACCTCCCCCTTCCTGTATTCCCCTAGAGAGAAATTCAATTGGAAACCATTAATATGCTGGTCCCAGAGGTGGACAATCACTTAGGGAGATAATTTCATTCTCCTCCGGCTCCCTGGCTCTGGGATGCTCCCCCGCTCCCCAGCTCCACGCAGATAATGAGGGAAGCAGTGCCACACTTCTCCTCCTCTGACCTAATTGATTATCCCCACACACCTTGGAGCGCTTTGCATAACCAGCCCCGACAGCAGGAACCCCTTCCAGGAGGGGTGATTGACATATTTTATTTCTAATTGAAGCTTAATCAGGACCAGGGATGAGATTCCCATAGTCCCTCTCCTTCTCTCCCTCCTGGTTTCCCTTTAAGATTTTTAAGGACAGACAATAAGGGATGGAGGCATTCCAGGGACCCCTGAGAGGAGGGAGATGAGGGGAGGGCTTAGGGAGGAGGTTCCGGGAGGAAGAGAAGAAATGGGAGTTCAGTCAAGTGAAAGAGACGCCACGAGGACTATCTCCTCTTCCCTCTTTCAGCTGTGAAGCTGAAGCTGAGATTCTTTTTCTGTTTTGATTAGATTATCTTATTGGGGTCAACTTGGGACCAGTTGAGGGCTCATGTGTTCTATGGGATAAGAGAAAATACAGATGCATGGGAACTGCTCCTAGGTTTATGTCAAGTCTCCTCTGGTACCTAAACATACTGCTTTTTCAGTGGGGACAGAAGGTGGCTCATGCAAGGACCATTATCCCTGGGATGTGGCCTGAGAAGCTGACCTTACTCCGGGGTCTCCACCAGAGAAAGACCTAGAGACCTGCACTCAGGCATCCTCAAGCCCCACCTGCTTCTCCATACCCAGCTGGCTGTGAGCAGATCCCCTGCCTCCTCTTGGGTGGTGTTCAGTGTAGAGAGGCCACCTAACTTCTGCTGTCACCTCCATGATCACAGTCCCCTCTCTGCTGTGCCGCTGCCTGGGAAGTTTCCTCTCTTGCTTAGCTGAGCTGGAGTTGCAAAGGATCCTGGGATGCCTGAATGCAGACACCTCACTTTTGTTGCTAATGAAAGGGGTGGATTGTAATACTGCTGGGAGTTTAAAAAGCGAAGTTGGAGATTCTGAAATGTAATTTTAATAGTAAAATGACCAGGTGCTGAGGATCAAGCCTGTACTCCCAGTGCTTTGGGAGGCTGAGGTGGGAGGATTGCTTGAGGCCAGGAGTTGAAGATCAGCCTGAGCAACATAGAGAGACCCTGTCTCTACAAAAATAAAAAAATAGCTGGGTGTGGTGGTGTGTGCCTGTAGTTCTAGTGAGTAGAAGGCTGACATAGGAGGATGATTTGAGCCCAGAAGTTTGAGGTTGCAGTGAGCTATGATTGCACCAGCTTGGACAACAGGCTGGGCAATACTCCAGCCTGGGCAACAGAGTGAGATCCTGTCTCTAAATTAAAGAAAAAAAGAGTAAGATTGCTTCTGCCCACCTACCTCGTGTCAGCCCTGGACATTCTTCCTCTTTGCCCTCATTATTCCCATTTTGTAGATGAGGAGATAAGGGCTCAGAGAAGTGAATTGTCTGCCTTGGGTTTCACAGGGTGGTAAGTGGGAGCAGAGTCGGTGCCAGTTAAGCTTGTGAGGCCTGAGCTGTTGAGGTGTCGGAGTGCTGTCCTTGTCAAGTCATTCAATGTGCTAACCAGTCTCTGCCCGGGTCCTGGCGTTCCGGCCTCAGTTCCAAGTCCGCGAGGATGAGCGGGCTCCACGTCTGGGGGCGCTGTGAGCAGGGCCAGAGCGAAACCTCAGTCTGAGCTTACGAACTGGGAAGGAGCCTGAACCCCAGAAACACCGTTAACAAAGAGAGGGAACGCTGGGGAGCTGAGGAGACGTCTCTTTGGCCTCTGAGGAAGGGGCTAAGGAGCAAGCCAGCGGAGGAGCGGCTTTGCCGGGTGTCCACTAGCGGTTCGCCAGTCCTCTGTGCGCCCGCAGAGTGACACAGAGGCCGACACAGCCCCCTCCCCACTCGCCCATGGGGCGCCGCCGCACCTTGATCGCCCGCTTCGCGGAAGGGACTCCCGAGGCGCGGCGCTGACCGCTGGGCCCGCACGGCCCAGTCCTGTCGGGCTCCGCTCTGCTACCGCCGGGTCTCGAAGTTGTGCCATGTTGAGCCGTGTCTTGTTCCGTGGCTTCGGGGAATGTGCGCGCTTCCCATACCTCCCTGGAACGCGGGAGATAGTCACACGCGCCACTCTGAGGGTCAAACACCCCGCATCTGGCCACACCGTACCACTGTGAGGGTCAAACACCCCGCATCTGGCCACACCGTACCTTTAGTAACGTGGGGAGGGGGCAAAAAAAAATGTGTCCCTCCTTCTTACCCCGAGGTGTCACTCGCCCAAACACTCCCTACAGCTTCTTCAAGTCAAACTTGGGCCAGGCTGGCTGGCTGACTGCGAGAGGAAAAAGAGGGTGCAGAGGGGGCGCGGCGCGCGGCAGGGTGGAGAGGCCAGGGAGGCGAGGCGCCGAGCGTCCCCTTTGTCCTGTAGAGGGAGCTCCAGCCCCAAATTTCCCAGCTGCCTCCCCCGGCCCGCCCACCCCAGGCCCGCCTGGAGCCGGAATCCGGGCTGGAAAGGTGCTGCGGATCTGACACCCCCGCAACCCCTGCGCCGGGACTTTAGCAGGATGCCTCTTCTGGGGCACGTGGGAAAACCCACCAGGGTGCCAAGACACACAGATGCTGCCAGGACCCGGGCTCCCAACTCTCAACTAGAGCTGGGCAGTCACACATCATCTAGAGGGTTGATATGTACCCCAAGGCTCCCCTCTTCTCCATATCTGCCTCCACCGTCACCCCACACCCTGGCATTTATAAAGACAGAAGGGGTGCAACCGGCTTGGAAGGAGGATGGAATCTGGGCTCGCACAACCTCTTATAGGTAACACTGAGAAAGCCTCAATTGTGTCGATCAAAGAATGGGGACGGGGGGGGGCGGGGGGAGTGATGAGAACACGCCCCCACCACCCGCGCAGGCTAACCCCGTTGTATCCAGACCCTTCTCTAAATCTTTTGGCAAGGTCGCCAGAGAAGGATCCAAGCCACCGAGGTTGCTCCCGTAGAACTGTGGGTCGGGCCCAGATTCCCGGCTCTTAGCAAAGAATCTTGCCGGGGTCTCCCACCTGTCTCCTGCTCCCGTTCTCTCCGCCGCCCCAGGTGCTTTTACAGCCACTTCTCCTGTTGCTGCGCCCCCAGCCCCGCCACTTCTGCGCCCCCTCAGCTATTGCTGTCGTTTGACTACTCGGTCCTGATTCGTCTCTCGTCCTTTCCCGCGAATTCTTCAAACAACCAAGGAGAGAAAAAACCCAAAAAACAAAAAAACACCAAACAGATCCGTCGAGGGGGCAGACAGGCGGGTTATAGTCAAAGTGGCAGCAGCTCATTTATTTAGCCAAAAATAGATACTTTCTCGTACAATTTGGTTCACACATATGTACATTTCTCTGTATATATACACACACACACAAAGGCAGACACGTTTATTCTCACTGAAACTCCACCCCCCAAAATCAACCGAACAAACAAACCTCACAGCGAATGCGGGGTGCCACAGAAGCGACTTGGGGAGGGCTGAGGAGGACTGGTTTTATTTCTTTTTTCTTTCTTTTTTTTAGTTTTGCTTTTAGGTATTTATACACTGACATGCTTACAAGTTGTAACTATACAGAGCGATTTTTTTTTACAATTATTACAACGATTAAAAAAAGTTTTTGTTTTGTTTTGTTTTGTTTTTTAAAGAACTAGGATGAGGAGAGAGCCGATAAGACCAGGGCGGCGTCCAGATGGTTCTGGGGCCTGGAAGAGAGAGACAGTAATAGCAAAAAAGGTGAGATTCAGGAGCGCAGAGGCGGCCTAGGGCCGGGAGATCCTACTTGGGTTGGGGCCGAGAGTCAGGAAGGTGTCGCAATGTAAAATTATGTCCAGTTGTAGATGTGTGTGTTGGGGGTTTAACTGTAGGGTGGGCACGAGGCGTCAGGACCCGAGGTCTGGGGCTGGAAAAAGGTGAGCGTCAGAGAGCCGCCACCCGCCCCAGTGGCCTGTGGGCCCAGCCACGCAAGGCTTCCCCTAGAAGGCACAGGCGCTGTACCCACCGGCCGCGCCTGGGGTGCCTGGGCTGGACCTGGAGAGCTGTCGCAGGGCCTACAGGGGCGACCGAAGAAGTGACTTTCGTCCCCTTTTACAAAATGCGTCCCAGCAGGGTTCCATGCTATTCCCGGGCAAAAGGCCGTGCGTGGTGCTCCACGTTCTCTCCTTTCCCCTCCAGTCAGTCCCCCTAGCCCCCCAACCTCGGGGTCTTACCGCCTGGGCACGGGCTGGAAAGCTGTCTTGAGTAACTTTTTCTCCACTTCCAAGGCACTACAGCGATCTAAGGGAAGCGGGGGAAGAAAAAGGAGGGCCTTTAGAGCGCTCGGTTCCGGCGCCCAGGGCCGCAGAAAGCAGGAGCGGAGAGGGACGCGCCCTGCGCCTCCCGGACCCTGCCCCTCCCGGCCAGCTCCGGCACTATCCGCAGAGCCCGCCCCCGCTCCGTGCCCAGCGCTCAGCAGTCACCTGTTCCGCCTTCGGGCTCCGCGGGCAGATGTGTATAAGAGACAGTCTTTCAGCTGTGAAGCTGAAGCTGAGATTCTTTTTCTGTTTTGATTAGATTATCTTATTGGGGTCAACTTGGGACCAGTTGAGGGCTCATGTGTTCTATGGGATAAGAGAAAATACAGATGCATGGGAACTGCTCCTAGGTTTATGTCAAGTCTCCTCTGGTACCTAAACATA